ACGTGTATCACCCATACCTGGTGTATCAATTAAACGTAAAAGTAATCTTTCATTTAAATTGAATACATATGATTTACATTGTTGTGTTACTGATTGACCTTGATGTTCATAATTTTCATTCACATCAACATCACCAAATTTAACAATACGCTCATCAAATTGATTACCAATCGTAATAAGAAATGAGACTGGAATTACTACAACTGGTTGATTTTGTTCAGCTTGTTCAAGAGTATCAAACATTAAATAATTAACAAATGCATTAATGAATGTTGATTTTCCAACTCCAGTTTCTCCCATAAGTAAAACATTGATTTCAGTTACTGATGATGATTGTTCTTGTGGAATAGATGGTGAATGATGTTCTATTTACAAGTATGAACTTTTGATAATTTTTATCTCTTAATAATTTTAAACTCAACAATATTCGATTCTCATTGCAGAGTTGGAATTGATAGGGTTTTTTCCTTATGGGTATCGGTCAGACTGAACCGACATGAGTCATTCTTCTTTTTTTTCTGACTCTATAACAGTCAAATCAACCCTCTGGATAAGTCATATCTTTCTTCTAGTCGCTACAGTGATGGTATAAAAGTACTGCTTTACAATTGTAGTGATTTTCAGTATTTATTTTCATATGTTTCTGTTTCTCTACATTTATTTGTGAACAGAAAACTTCATAGGATTACAAATTCTATATAAATGTTGTGGTTTGATTAACTAGTCTTCAGATATCGACACTATTTATTAACTCTATAGATAATTTGTTTTCCACACTATATTTCTATTGTTATTTCTTATGTCTATGGGAATTATATGTTATAAATAATAGGAAATACAAAAAAATGTATGAAAAACTACAATGTTAAACAAATTATTCGATTTTATTTTGATAATATGACGTCATACCAAAGTGAATTGAGAAAATGATTATAACAAGGATTCTATGATGAATTTTAATCCAATAGAAGTCTGATTCATTTATATGCTCACGAAAATAATCTTCGACATTAGTAAAAGGCTTTTGATGTGCGAAAAAGAATCACTTTAATATTCAATTTTTCGAAGAAAATAAACATTCAAAAACCAAAACGAAATTTCAGACCGGCCGGTTCTCGTTTTCAGTTACAAATCTGTCTGACTGTCTAGTAAGTGACAAAAACGTGTAAAAATATGGACAAAACAAAATGAAGCTTAATGGAAATAAAACGAAACCAATCACTTTGATTGAGTCTCTTACTTCTACAATGTTTGGGTCGAGTGTCTAATGATGATTGTATTGGTAAGTTTCTTACACCGAAATCTTCTAAGTTTTTTGGAAATTCACTGAAATCAACATAGATTAAGGAAACTCTTTGTGTTGTGTTCTGTCGTTGTTCAATTATATTTTGATAGATTTGCTCCCATCGAACAGATTTTTCTCGTTTCAATCGATCACTTGAAAACCAAAGAATTGCGGAACTATCTTTCTTTGAAAAACGACGATTAAGTACTTCATGAATATCTTGCATTTTCAGGAAAATATTGTTGCAACCAGGAATATCGAGAACATTAAAATAAGCAATGTTATCATCGTTAAGTCTTTTGATTAATTTGTATTTTGTCAACCATTGATCTACTTCATTATAAAAAACGCCAATGGCAGGTTCTCTCAATGAAGAATAGTATCGGTTTGATATTATATTGTTAATTTCTGCCGATTTTCGAATACCTCGACGCACATCAATCAGTGTACTTCGAAGTTCTGTTCGATATTGCTCATATGTACTAAGTAAAACACCAAACTGCTCTGGAATATCCTTTGACCATCGATTGGATGTCAAAATGTTTAAGTTTTTGGGAAGACTTTTCAATAGTTTTTGAATATCCTTCATCCAATTATTTAAACGCATTATCGTAGGAATAATTTGTGAAATATTACAGTTATCATCATTTGACAAACGATATGGTTCAGGGTATGATTGATTTTCATATAGCCATTTCAGTGAACACATTTTATATTGTATCGGACGATGAAAATTTGTATTGTTCTGAAAATGTTGTAGTCTATTGAGAACATTTAAGATTGATAATGTATTTGGATTATCAAAACATGTTTCAGAACCAAATATGATCACATCAGATAGTTCATTAATTATATGTTCTTCTTCGTCAGTGAATTTCAATGGTTTGTCACTACTGTGAAGTCGTTCAGATATTTCATTAAGTAAATGGTCAATTTGATCCAGTAGTTGAGCCGTCGGTACTTGTATAATACATAAAATTTCGAAACCCGATATTATTTCAGTAATCATATGAGTCGCATTATTTAAATTGGGTGAAATTGATATGATTTTATTTGCTTTTACATCTGTAACACTTAGTTTCTCTCTTCTACATGTATATGAATAATATAGAAAACAAGTATTTTCATTAATAGGTTGATTATAATGAATAAGAGAACTGATTCCGGATTCTTTGACCATATTAAGAAGAATACTTTGTAAAAGTGTATCATCAAATTTTATTACATTCAAAAGATGAATGACATCTTTTATGTGTGAACCTCGAAATACTTGACACATCGAATGTTGATAAAATTGGGGATTTTCTGAGTTTT